TTAGTAAGGAGTCACCATATGTCATTCCCCCCTAAATACACACATTACTCCAAAACTTGAAGGGAAATACATATATATATTTTCTTAATTTTAAGAGTGACAGATGCAATTCAAATATATCAATCCCGAATAGTCATTTCATTTTTAGCTATTTGAGCATTAAAACTAGTGAATTTTGGCGGTGAAATCCTAAGGGATAGAATTTGTTAATCTAATTTTTATCGTTAAAAGAAGATACTGACTTGGTTCAAGAATTAAAAGCTTGCTAATTAAGTGTCGTACAATTCTCTCAAATAGATTTTTCCCCCCACTTGAACTTGGAATAGATTGAATTAGAGGGGTTCACATCCGTAGCTAATTCCACGGTGTACTTTAGTTTCTCCATTTTCATAAGCTTAGATTTTATTTCTCATGTCACATTAAATTTTTGACAGAAAATACACCTTTGTTTCAGCATCAAGATAATGACACTTCTATCAATATATCTTCAGAATCTTGATTAATAGTGTCTTATTATTTTTATCCAATTAATCAATTCAAGCCTATAAATAAGCAACCCAATTAATTAATTTATCCAAAGCTTGTTAAATTAATTAATTGACAAATCACAATCTTCTAGTTTTCTTTTGTGTGCGACCGATCAGGTTCCCGATCACGATGTCTAACAACGTTAAATACGATGCCTAACAACATGAAATATTATTTTGATCTAATCAAAATTGATAAATTAAAACACCCTTTTAATTTATCACCAATTCACACTCGCTGTCCCCCATCGACGTCTAAAAATGTGTCAGAGCAATACATGTGACAAGAAATGTCAAGTGGTATAACAAAATCAAACTCGTTCATTTACCGTGAAATTATAATCCCTTCATCAATATGATTCGATCAATTACGAGATATAGAAGTGTGTCAATCTCGATCATCGATCATATCTTTCACTCCTCTATTTAGTCAATATAAGTCGAAAACTCCTTTTCGACTTGTGAGTACACCTTGGCTAAGGATTTCTTTATCGACTTAATTGAATGAAATGCAGATCATAATCTCTTACTATATAAGAGTAACGAATCCTCTCTTGGTCATTCTCAACCTTCGTACGATTCTTGACATATCGAACAATGCCGTATTGGCGACCCTTGGCAGAGCAACATCTAACACCGTCAAAGCATGGCTGTCCTTATATAAGGTACTTTGACGACTTCAAGTTAAAGGAGCAATTTCACTACCGAACGTTAGAGATTAACTACTGACACTTAGATAGTTATCTATATGGAATCTCTGGATGGGTCTCCAATGTTTTATTCTACACTAAAACATCCACGTGTTCATTCAAGTGTCACCACATTTTAGCTTGTGAGATCAGCTACTTACTTCACAAGTAAGAAATGTCACACGTGATGGTCTATCTGTAATAACGATACCTGTATCTCATTATTACTTACGACCATGGATGATTTAATATTCAATTATATGTAATTTGTATCTCACAATCACAACCCCTTGTGATTAACAAATTATCAAGATTTGAATCTACGGACTCTATTATTTAATTTAATTGAATATTAATTAAATAATATATCTGCTATAGAATTGCATTAATTATATATTAAAAGTATTTATGTCCAAGGTTGATTGAACCTAGGGTATAACACTTACACTTGCAACTAAATCTCTTAGAATTTTCATGTAATGTGTAGATCCTTTTGCTGAGGCAAATGTTGATAATTCCGGTGCTGGTACAAAAGAATATGTTCATATTCGTGTACAAAAACGAAATGGTAGGAAAAGCCAGACAACTGTACAAGGATTGAAGAAACAAGTTCAGTTATAATAAATTACTCAAGGATCTTAAGAAAGAATGCTACTGCAATGGTACTACAGGATTCAGAACTAGGCCAGGTGTGTATTCTTTCTTAACATATGATTTATTTCCTTTGCCTCCTTCCATATAATTGGGTTTCAGCATATTTAATGTTGAAGTCTAACTCTCTTGTGAAGGTTATTCCGGCTAAAGAATGTTTCCACCTTTCTTGTTCAGGTGATTACCTTTGGCTGTTTCATTACATCTCGTCTTATGTTCATGAGATGTAAGAAAATTGAATAATAAATAGCCATGGAGGAAGATGATTTGAGGCAAGCATGTTTTAGTTTTTCTATTTAGTGCTTGCTCTGATAAAATATTAAGTTATTAAAATTATAATCCGATAGAAATGAGTAGTGGATAAATGTGTAGTAGTTGTGGGTCTTACGAAATGTGAGTTAAAATTAAAATTGACTTTGGAAGTGAAATAATAAGTAACTTAGGAAACGGAAAATGGATGCTTAGTGCCTCTGTGTGTGTAGAGAGAGATTATTTAATTTAGGGCTTTGGAGTTTTAGTAATAATATTTATTGATTTAATTTGGTTTCTTATCAGGCTGGAATTATGAAGAAGGAATTGATCAAGATTCATGGGTATTGAGCAGTAGCATTAGTCATTGCACAGTTCTTGTTCATTTTCGTGCCAGTCCAGACTCGATATGTTAACTCACACTTAAATCTAATGCCAGTTCAAGCAGGATATTTGAACTTAGTTTGTGTGTTGCCTAGTACTACAATGTTGGCTTGATACTGTAAACTTTGTGTTACTGTTTGTTCATAATTCTCCTGCAAGCATTGAATGTTGGTAATGTCATGTTTATTAGCGTTAACAAATGCGTAATAATGGACATTTTCTGGGAATCGACACTCAAAATTTGTTACTGCTTTATTTTGTATGTACATGTCCTATTAGTCTTGAGGTATCTTTCTATCACAGTTACAACTAGTGTCACGTGAACCATACTAATATAATAAACCAATGGTTACTTGAGTCGTTGAAGAAACAACAAAAGAAACCATTTTTATTTTTGTAAGGGAAAAGGGCAATTTGAGTAAGGAGAATGGAATTATACCTCGTGATTATGTATCTTCGTCTCTAAGCATCAAAAATGATAAATTCAAATTTTGTTCAAAGAATTTTTGTAGCTGGTCCATTTGCTAAAGAAAATTAAAAGAGAAAGAAGGGAATAACAGTACAAGCATGAAATATATCACATTTAGAACGAAGCAAAGTGGTGAGGGTTGGTTAGATCATTTCATTGCATGAAATTCAATATACTTTTATCAATCATCGGGACTTCAACCTATCTTTCATAGACTCTATCTTTCAAAAGTAAAGTATCTGTTTCCCTACTATATAAAAAAGGGAAATGTGAGGGCACTGTAGAAAGTAACAGTGTCTTGATCCATCTTTACTGTAGCATTTTTGTTTTTTCTTTTCAATTGGGGGCCAAAGACGACGCCATTTGCTTGATATATATTTTATTTTATTATACACTACCTCCAAATTTACTGCAACACGCAATTTCCATTCCTCCCTCACTAGGGATATAAGAAAAAAAATCACTTTTCTCTAAAAAAAAAAAGAAAAAAAAAAGATAGAGATAATATGCGACAGAAATTTTTTTACTATGTATTACTTGTAGGTAAAAAATTTGAAGAGAAAAGAATTAAAGAAAATTTTAAATTGAAAAAGAAAATTATAACGTAAAACTACACAGAAAAAAAATGGTAATCTCTCCGTGCACGAAAGGAAAAAAAAATTAGGAACACTTCGTGCACGGAGACCCAAAGGCTCCGTGCACGTAGAGCCATGGTCTCCGTGCACGGAGACCATGAATTTTTTTTTTTTTACTTATGTTTTTGAGTTCATTTTCAGGCTCATTACGGGATATCAAACGAAGTCGAAATATTACATTCTTAATATCGTTTTGAAGTACTCGCGGCATAGTATTGCACGTCGTTAACGGTGCGTGAAACAGTCAATCGTAGCAAATGTTATGGGACATCAAAGTAGGCATTTTCAAACTATATTTGAAATTTTCGATAACAAGCCAACTTTAAAAATTCGTCGACGATTGTAGATAGTCGAATTGATAAATGTTTTACATTCTCTCGAAACTCATTTTGAAAACTATATCGTAGAGATATCAGATGATCTAAATAAATATCGAAAATAGTTAAACGGAGATTAAACGTATGTGTTAAAAATGCGTAAACGTCGTTTTTTCTTTAAAAAATCAATTATTTTATTACTATTTATTCTTTTTTTGCAACAAATTTCTCAATGCATCATTTTGCTCAAAAAAAATTATGTGGTATTACGGAAATTTTTTTCTCCATGCACGGAGTAAATATGTTTTTTTTTAATCATTTTATATATTGAATTATTACTAGAAAATTAAATTTTATCTCAAACTATTAAAAAATACTGATTAATAATAAAAAATTTGAAGAAAAAATTTTAAAAAAATTCTAAATTGGAAAAACTATTATTTATAACGTAAAACTACACAGAAATTTTTTTTTCTCAAATCTAAGTTTTTGTTTGGAATTATTAAGAGAAAAGAATTTTAAATTGAAAAAAAAAAAATTATAATGTAAACAACACAAATATTTAAAAAAAAAAATAGTTAAACGGACATTAAACGTATGTGTTAAAAAATACGCATAAGTCGTTTTTCTTAAAAAAATCAATTATTTTATTACTATTTCGAAATTTTCGATAACAAGCTAATTTTAAAAATTCGTCGATGATTGTACGAATCATAAATGTTTTACATTATCTCAAAACTCATTTTGAGAACTATATCGTAGAGACATCTAATGATGTAAATAAATATCGAAAATAGTTAAACGGACATTAAATGTATGTGTTAAAAAATGCGTATAAGTCGTTTTTCTTATAAAAATCAATTTTTTTTATTACTATTTATTATTTTTTTCGCAACATTTTTCTCAATACATCATTTTACTCAAAAAAAAATTATGCGGTATGGCGTAAATTTTTTTCAATTATTTAAAATTTCATTTTTTTCCATGTCCAGCAAAAATGATGCGTTCCTCCGTGTATAGAGTGCATTGATTTTTTTTTTTACATTATTATAGATATAGAAAACTAAAAAAAAAAAACTATATCATCGTAGTTGGATATATCTAATAATTTCAGAC